GTGTATCCATGTTCACTCGTCAACTACTCAGAAGCTCGATTTGCAAGCTCTATGCCATTGTTTCTAGACATTAGTACATTACTCTTTAGTCTACGTAGTAGAAGTTTAGAAGGTTATAGTGGATTTGGAAAATTGGGCGTTTATTTTTGTAATTTGGTATTTGTAACCAACCTAAATATTTATTATGGGCTTCAAAATTGTAATGAACGTTTACAATATTTTAGAATTTAAAGTAATTGTTGAGTAGGGAGTCGGTACGGTATTATACCGGTATACCGCGGTATTTGAAAACATTTACCGTTACCATACCGAAATAAATCGGTACGGTATGATACCATACCGAATATGATGGTATACCAATATTGCGGTATTTCCCGGTATTTTTCGGTACGGTAAGTGCGGTATACCGATTTTTCAGTATTTTTGCCCACCCCTACTTTTAACCTTCTCGCCGCACAACCTCTAAATCAGCTAGTTGCCTCTGTACCCGCCCAAGCTTCGTCCCAAAAGGCCCTAAATGATCCCGTACCGAACAGACGCCAGGAGATTGACGCCGCCGCCCAATTCTAACCCTAGACAGATGCTAGCATGTAAAATAATTTTTTATTCATGCATTAACAAACATAATTAAAATTGACGCAAATGCGAAATTAATTATAAAAAGTTGTCATAATCCAATAGAATATGAGTAACAATTAAAATTAAAAACAAATGGCCGATGATGAAGCTAAGGAATTCTTGTCATTCAAAGAAATGTATATAACCTTTCCTAAATAAAGAGAATTCTTCAGCTTCAACAGCGGCCATTAGATACCATTTTAAGAAAGACTTCTTAATCAACTTGGTTATTTGACAAATAAAAGTTGTTTGATAGGGTTTAAAAAATGTTTGAAAATATCCTATATCTTTGATGTGGGAAAGTTACAGAGACACTAGAAAAGAACTTGTTTTTCATTTAATCTGTAATGATGACTTAATAGAGTGCATAATAAACATTTTTAAAAAGTTATAATTACTTTGAAAAAGAGATTAATATTCACTCCCTTAATTCATCATTATAACTTAAGATCACCGATACATATAGCAACGGAATAATACACACAGGCACATACGTAATTGAATAGGAAGTTAGGGTTTTATAATAAAGGGCACATTATTTCAAAAACAATATTTCTTTATAATTATTTATTTATTAAATAATTAAATATTATTTTGGGGGAAACTAATAAGATCATACATTGAAAAATTGAATGAGTTTTGGTCATACCTAGGATAATTTTCTCTAAAATGTACAAATGATCCTTGAAGTAAGAGATGATTATCTTAAATTTCTTAATTTTGGTCCCTAAACTCAAAATATGGAGTATATTATTTTATTCCTTTTTGAAATTAGTCATCATCATCATCGATGATGATGATGATCATAATAATAATGATAATGATAATAATCATAATAATAATAATAATAGTAATAGTAATAGTAATAATAATAATAATAATAATAATAATAATAATAATAATAATAATAATAATAATAATAATAATAATAATAATAATAATAATAATAATAATAATAATAATAATAATAATAATAATAATAATAATAATAATAATAATAATAATAATAATAATAATAATAATAATAATAATAATAATAATAATAATAATAATAATAATAATAATAATAATAATAATAATAATAATAATAATAATAATAATAATAATAATAATAATAATAATAATAATAATAATAATAATAATAATAATAATAATAATAATAATAATAATAATAATAATAATAATAATAATAATAATAATAATAATAATAATAATAATAATAATAATAATAATAATAATAATAATAATAATAATAATAATAATAATAATAATAATAATAATAATAATAATAATAATAATAATAATAATAATAATAATAATAATAATAATAATAAATCATATACGAAGTATATACCTAAAAATATATATTTCTGTTGATTTTTTCTAATAAATACTCCATATATGATTTAGAGAGATTTACCTAAAAAGAAGTCATATATTTTTTGGTTGATAAATTTATTTATCAACCAAAACAGCCGATTTTCGTGCTACCAAACGGGCTCTTAGTTTTTTTTATTTTTGCCCCGGGTGAAAGCTTCCTTCTCCACTTCCACCAAGGAATTCAAGCAGCACATCAGATTTGCCCGAAAATTTGTTGCTGCGCCCATGAAGATATCCAAAGAGAGTTTCCGGCATAGTAGCAGTGTGGCCAGAATTCTTTTTGGCACTAATTCCTCGCAATTCTTGTAGAATTCGGGTGTGAGGGATTGTGGGAGTAGATCTCTAACGAGTAGACGTGTGTTACCCCTGAGCAGAGGATGTATCATCCTTATAAATAAAACATCCATCCATTTAAAACAACTTGAACATCAAATAGAAATAAATCAAACAATCGGTTTGTAATGAAACAACAGCCACTTTTTCCTTTTAAGATTTTTTGATTCAATAAAATCTAACAATTACTAAAAACTCAAAAGTATCGTTTCAGCTAGTTGTGTCAAACATACCATATGTACTACGTAGTTTTGTTCATTTGCATATCTAAGAGTCGAGTTAAAGGTAACTTTTTTAGAATAAAAAATTGAGCCTAAAAAACTCCACCCCTCAGTATATTGAGATTTATTTTTATTTATTTTTATATGCAATATTGGTGTCTCAAAGATAGTGAAAAATATAAATTTTGACATTTTTTTGTTAAAACCGGGTAACAAAAAAAGTTACTGTCATTTAAAAAACAAAGGTTTTTTTTGGGTCCTATGTAGCTTTGTACGTCATTTCCATAGCTAAGAGAGAGACATTGGCTCTTGTTAACCAGGGTTGATTTGAGCAGATTTTGATAAATACTTTTAACCCAACTCAATTTTGTAAATAATTTTTTATTTAACATTATTTGAAAAACATAACTCCAAATACTAGCCTGCTACATTTTAAATTTTTAAAAGAGCACAAATGCAAAATTGTCTTTAAATCACAAATGTGACTTATACTACTTTTGGTTCACAAACAGCTAATGAAAAACTTAGAAGAGAGAACGGAAAAAATGGAAAATAGTGGTGGGGTTCCTGTTTCTGGGAGCCACTAGTTCAATTTCAAGGTCCATGACGGGGAGTTATATCACACAAGCCACACCCAAGCAAGACCATGAACAATTTTAAGTTATATCAACAACCTAGTTTATGGCAAATCAATGTTTGTATAGGCCTGAAGTGTAAACCAGAGAGCCCGAAACAAAGGTTTCATGTTAAAGAATGCCAAGAACAACCATGAAAAGCACCTGATCAAATGACAACCTGGAGCTACATTTTTAGAGAATGGGTCTGAAACTAGACAACCACCATGATTGATGTTCTCAAATAGCATTTCCCCAGTACATCTCAAGTCTTTAAATTCTTCAAAGTAAAAGTTACCCCCTTGACATGTTGCACCGATACAATATTGTACGAAAAGTTTATAAGTAACGAAAAATGCAAATGTGCTACCTTCCAACAGCTTCAATGCTATTATATCTTAGTTTCTTATTATGCAGGTGTCCAGCAAGAGCTAGCACTAAAAATTCTACCTTTCCACCCCTGCAGTATCCAATGACTGTCATCCAAAAACAGAAACTTCTTGTGAAATCCGGCCTTTGTCTTGTCTCTCAGCTCATTTGCAAGCTCGGGTCTTATGGGAATAGGCTTTAACCCAGCTCTCAAATTACGCAAATGCCACTGCTTGTATGTTTCAGGCCTATGTAATCTTTCCGTGCCTTCACATGCTAAGATACTCATTATTTCACATGCCCTGGCTTCCTCAAAACTCAACCTGTGAGGATCATCGCGGGGTAATGTAGCATCACACATATCAAAGACTGCAGTGTATAAGAAGAGAGCTTCTCGGAACCGAGATATAAAGAAAGGAGAGCTGTGGGCTCCACTCAGCAATGATTGCACATAAATTTTAGGATTGATTTCACGGATTAATTTTAGAACTGCATCCTTAGGGAGATCCGGAGTATCTGCAACGCCCACTGTCTCATCAAGTAGGTTTTCGAATCGATACAAACAATTAATAGCGACAATCTCACTAGTCCGAAGCTTTAAATCCTCAAGTTTGACTGTCTCCCAATATTGAGTTGTTATGGCATTGTACTCAAATGGTACACCAAAACGTTCACAATATTTTGCCAAAAGACGACCAGTATTTTTTACCATTTCTTCCGGACGAAAACCAGGTTGGGGAAGCTCAATTGCGGTTATTCGAAGTTTAGGAGGTCCACCGGGTCTTTGTGATAGATTCTGGATAAGAATGGGCCACTGGAAACCATAAAGAATACCAAAATCTATGATGTGAAGCGATTTACATTCCAATGCAACTTCATAAATCATTGTATTTGCAAAGGAAAACGATGTTGTCATGAACGGCCAACATGTAAGGTAGGTGCGATAAGCTGTTATCATCGTTCTAGAAGTTGAGATCGTATTTGAAGATAGTGCCGCATATAGTTGTGCCCCAGTTCCAGCCAACCGTGCCTCAAAAGCATTTGCAAAGGCATGGCCCAGCCTTTGATTTGCATCGCCGGTTGGCGAAGAGTGCATCCTAATCTTCATTAGCTTTTCTTCCACAATCTTATAATCAGCATCGGCAATAGATTGTGCACAGCTGGTTAAAAGAGACTCTAGATCCACATTTTTACAAGTCTTTCCTTGTTTCTTTGCATATCCCTTGCAACGACCTTGTCCATTCTGTTGGGTGCCCTTTCCAACTACAAATGGAGGATCCTTGTTATTGCTAAACAACAAAACTTTATCAAACACCTCTATTAACTCAGCCTCCTCCACCTCCTCCTCCTCGTAAACTGCAGACTGCTTAGTGCGCCTTTTTTCCTGTAACCCAGAGTCACATGAATGTTGATGCTTCGTTCCTCTAGAGGAATCAGCTGAACCCTTATCTGTACTGAGGAGCAACTGATATTCGGAAGGAAGGAATCTACTTGCTTCCTCCATACCTCTCTTAAACTGCAAGATGGACTCAGTATCACTAACAGTGTTCAAAGAGTCCATTTGGGTATTCATAATGCTATTCAATCTATATGAAGAACCATTTGACCTCTCCTCATATGATTTAGATAATCCGGTGTTACAACTACTAAAGCTTCTAAATGTGCTGTCCCGGCTTCCAGATTTAGTGTTAGCAAAAAGAGGTTCTTGATTAGGTGATGAAGGGTTTCGATGGAGGGCGTCATAAAAGAATTTTTCAGCAGCTCTAAGGGAAATAGGGTCATAATACACGCTGGGATTATTATTCTCATCGATATTACTATCCTCCAGTAGCATCTGGCTAATGTACTCGAGTGTGGGATCAGAGTAGTGTTCATATTGGGAGTCCAAATTAGAAGCACGTGTGACCAACGAGGCATCCTTATGGCTGTCTGGAATGTCTCGTGTTTCTTTTAAGGTGGAAAGAATGATCTCATTCTCCAACTCGGATTCATTTGCAGAGGACTCAGGCAACCTGCTGAACCAATGATCATCCATAATCATCAATGTGAAGAAACCTGTATCCACATAAAGACAGGTTGTATAACAAGTTAACAACATACATAATGATTAAAATGGATTTTCCAATTATCAAATACTGTAATATAGTAACATCCATGAATGGTCATTCTAATGCATTTGTGGCCGTTTTAGTACTTTCCTGTCTGCAATTTAACCACCGCGGAAAAAATTGATGATTTGATGTCATTGGGGAAATGCCACCAAAAGTACAAGTACAGATAAATTTTGAAATAGATAATAAGAAGAGACTATAGTTGCTATGGAAGCATCGTTAAGGCTGTAGATAGGGGATGACTATGTAAACAGCCTATCATCTATTTTTGGATTTCTGGATTGACTTTGGCAGCGTGAATTTGTCAAAAAGCTATTTTTAGGCTATTTTGGATGAATATGTCTGCTCAAAATGAGCTGCAATGTAATAGGTGTAGATAGTGTTCTAAAGTCGTGAGGCGTGGCAAGGCATCAAGCCTCAAGCCTTTGAAGCGTAGACGGGAATAGACCAAGCCCAGAAGGGAATAAAGGATAGGCGAAGCCTAGGCGTGAAAAGATGTTTTAGATTTCTGTCGATACTTACTATTTTACACTCCCTTCGTAAAAAAAAAAAATACTCCCTTCGTATTTAAAGGATCGCTATATTAGGCCTTGACACAATATTTAAGGGGAAAATAGTAGGGGTATTGAATAGTGTAGAAAAAGTATGAGAGAAGGTGAAAAAGTAGAAAAAATAAGGGTTATTGAGTATTTTTAAAGGAAAAACATACTAAAAATGGAAAATGTAGCAAATTTTTAAACACATCCCAAATAGGAAAGTGTAGCAAACTTTTAAATAAAGAGGGAGTAGTAATCATCATCATCATTACCCCAATGCCGCAAAGGCTCCCACCTATAATGAGATAAAAAATTGAGCATGTTGGGTATTGAACCCACGTCCATGCGGTTCTACTATTTTATAGTGATAAATGAAGAAAAAAATGTCCAAAATATATTATATAAGATTGAGTCTAATTTTTACTTTGTTCAATATATATAATTTTGAAATGTATAAAATTGCTCATACAAAATGATATATTATTTATTTTTACTAGTCCGTACTAGATTTCATATATAACAAGTTTATAAAAGCATGTTTTTTTACAAATTTGATCTATATAAAAAAAAATTCGCCTTTTCACGCCTAGGTGCGCTTAAGCTTACGCCTTTTGACGCCTTTGATGGTGAATTCTTCAGTTGCCCGCCTTTTCCACGCCTTTCTACTATGTGAAGCATTTTTCAGCTACCTCACACCTAGGCGCGCCTAGGCCCCGCCTTTTGCCGCCTCTAAAAACACTAGGTGTAGACAATTAATTTAAATGTATCCTTGTATGGATGAGAAGCTTAACTTGACTAGATCTAAACTAAATCAACTGATTTGAAACGTTACTAATTATAATGTTTCAGTTCATCTCTTTAATTTACTGGAACTTTATGTCAACATTACCTTCTTGCTATTAGATTTTATCTTGTTTATATTGAACCATTTGATTTTATGATAGTTTTATAGTTTCAATCAATATTTCAGCTATGAAGTCAAACAAGTCTACTTCATTCCGCTAACATTTAGGTTTTGACAACTTTGATTCGGCTCCAGACAATAATCACTAAATCAGACAATAGACTTTAATTAGCTTCAACTCGTTTATCAATTAGACTTTAATTGATAAACAACTTTTTTATATCATTGTTTGATGCCAACAATGACAACATCCAAGTTAAGGGTGTAAATGAGTCAAGCCATTCACGGGATGCTCGTGGATTGCTCTGGAAAAACTCGACTTGTATTCGGTCAAATTCAAGTTCGACTCCAGTTTGGTTATATTCAAGATCGACTCGAGTTCGGTTCCACTCGAATATTTAACAAGCTCAATTCAAGTCTATTTATTTTAGTCTCGTGGCTCGCTAGCCTTTGTGTGTATATATATACATATATATGTATCATGATTATATATATAATATATTTGGAATATGAAATATGTTTTAGGACTATTCCATTTTAAATACTTTTTACTGTGTATATTATAATAGTACTACCTCCGTCCCAATTTGATGATACCATTGCGGTTTACGAAGTTTTACTGACGATAAAGCAAACTGATCCCTGTCCGCACTCAAATCATTTTTAGAAAAAAAAATTACATATTCGGAAACTACATTAAAAACTTTACAAAGTCGCAAACACCTGGATTAAATTTGATTAAAATTTAATACATAAAGTAAGAGATTAAGAGTGATTTGTGTTGACCAAGAGAGAGAGAGAGATGGTACCATCAAATTGGGACGGAGGTAGTCATAATTATAAATATAATACTTTTTATTATTACTATTATTATAACCATAATCTGTAATAACTATAATTTGTAATATTTATTGATAGTAGAATAAGGAATACAAATGTCGGTGAAGGAGAGAGGAACTAAAGAATGGGAACGATTAAGTACAAACATTATATTATTAATTTTTTTATATGTAAATAATTAACTTAAAATTATTTAATTTCCCTTATATATGTCCTGTTTGTTAAATTTTTGTAATAGAAATTTAATTTTTAGATTGAATCGAGCACGAGTTCGAGCAACTTATTTGAGCTCAAACCTATAAAAATTAATTAACAAAACTTGACCCAAGCTCGAACCGAGTTCGAGTTGAGCTCGAGTTGAGCTCAAGTTGAGCTCGAGTTGAGCTCGGGTCGATCGAGTTTCAGCCCAAATTATTTAACTCGTCTAAGCTTGAGCTCGAACCCGAACTCGTGAATTCTTATAAAACTCAAACTCAAGCATACCCATGTTCGGGCTCAAACCTATAAAAATTAATTAACAAAACTTGACCCTCGTTCGAGTTGAGCTCGAGCTAAGTTCGAGCTCGTGATTTCTTATCAAACTCAAACTCAAACATACTCATGTTCGGGCTGGGCTCGTTTGCATCCCTAATCCAAGTATTAGGCCCAAAAGAATTTAGGGGATAACATAAATTGATACATGATATGTTGTTTCATCCCACATTCCCAAAAATGAAAACGTCAATTGGAATAGTTTTTTCACTAACAATTTTTTATTTTTTATTTTAAAAGCCTGGTATACCCTCCAAATAAAATAAAATAATAATAATGTCAGTGTAATGACAATGATAAGAAATATCATTTCAAATATTGTGGGCAATTTTATAATATTATTTTAAAAAAGAGCACAAGTAACCGAATTGAAAATATTAATAGTAAAAATAAACGTGTAAATATGTGTGTGCAGGCATAAGCAGGGGCGGATGATAGTAGGGGCTAGGGTGAGCTCCAGCCCTGCCCAACCCAATTTTTTAAATATAGGTATAAGTTTGTTAAAAATTGGAATCCAGCCTAGCCCAAAATAATTCAAAAGCCCAATCAAGTGAGTCTTAAATATTAATTTAAAATGTACTCTATAATTCATCATTTTAGTACTTATAATTTTTAATACATCATAATTGAAGATTAGAGAATAATTTCATATACAAAGGTTTAATGTGTTAATTTCCATATATTATACATATGAAATTACCAATAATGTGTTACATCGAATTGATCGAAACAATGATGAAATGAATACTTACCCAGTACAAAATGGAGCTCGAGTTTGGCTTGATAGTTTTTTTGTGTTTGATTCGGACGCTTGATTAGCTCAATAAACATGCTTGAACGTAGAAGTTTAGATTATGCTCATTAATAGACTCGTGTTTGAATTATTCAATAAATACTCAGATCTTTAGTGATCGTTAAAAAAATTATAAAATCGCACTAAAATCGTTTAAATTTTAAAATATATATAATTCATTCTTATAATTTATAAGTGATCGATTGGCTCGAGTTTGGATTGAACTGAGCATCATCATGCTCGAACTCGGCTTGTATAACTAACTATTCAAACTCAAAATCTATCGTGCATTCGAGTTCGAAGCTCCTTAAGTTTAGGTCATTAAATTAGATTTGAAATCAAGTTCGAACTCGAGTACTTCGAAAAAAGCTCATTTCTATAACAGGCCTAAGCTAAACCTTGTGTGTAGTAACAATGTTTTTTCGTGTTAGCCCACCTACCTCTCATTCTTGGATCCACCCCGGTACATACACATATACTTCATATATATTAAAAAATAATGGTTGTAGTTATATAAAATAATGATGACATTGTAATAAAAATGATAAGAAATGTCATTACGAATATTATTGCTATTTAATAATATTTTTTTAAAACGAGTACAAGTAATCGAATTGAAAATATTAATAGTAAAAATAAATGTGTAAATTTGTGTGTGCATTCATAAGTATATATTAAAAAAATAGTCGTTATTAAATAGAGTATAATAATAGTAAATGTAATTTGAAAAACATTTTCCAAAACTTATAAGCACCTAAGTTACCAAGCATTTTACTTTAATCCGCTAATTAGATTTATAAATTACTCAAGGATAGCCAATAGGCAGAAACTGAAGACTACACAGCCAAAGCAACAATTCATTAATTATAAAATAATCAGAGCACCAACACTTGAAATGCTCAGCAGTTAAAGGCGTTCATTTTGATTTTTTTTTTTAAATTTACCCTTTTTCATTTAAAATATAAAATGACATGTTAATGCCTTGGATCGTCACCAGCGGAAAATGAGTTCAACCATACATGGATTATAAACAGACAGAGATGGAATCAGCTTCCAATTAAAAAAATCTTTACATTACACAATAAATGGGAAAAGAAGAAAATAGAATGGACATCAAGTCCTGGAAATTAGTTGTTTTTTTGTCTTGGAGATCTGAGAACGTACCTAAGACTGAGAAGTGGGAGACGAGCGCCAGTTGTATGATAGCAGTAAAACAACTTAAGCAAACCGAGGATTAGGAAAGCGGACGAGAGAAAAAAGAACATCAGGTATGAATTTTCCATGAAAAAGCTCATGACTTGAGAAATGATGACTGGCAATTAGTTCCTGAAAGCAAGCATCAACAGGCGACTGGGGAGTTGAAATTTGTTTTCTATGGGGTGGAAAGCTACAGGCCACTGGGTAATTTGTTTTTTCTCTATTCCGTAAAATGCTCGGCCGTCCATTTTCCTCTTTATTACAGGTATATATAAATGGGGATTACATCCAATTTGTTCCTGTGGATCTAGAAAGTTTGATTATTGAGGGCACTCACTCAAAAAAAATGAAAAAAATTCAAAACATATTAGCAGAATAGATAAAAATTCAAAAGATTTTTTTTGGGAAGGGAAACCGCTTATATTCATATCGTTAGTTTCAGGATCGTTACATCAATCAAAGGAAAATCAAATCTGACACCAACTAACCTCCAAAAACTACGACATAAACCATATGATCAGACTTAGAGACGGTCATCCCTGAAAGAGCAACACGAATCGCTAAATACGAAACGGGCTTGACACGGCTATCCCTGGTTCTATAGATCCATATACTCCCAACGACATAAAAATAGGCGAAATTTCCAAACAAACTGGCGAACCTAACAACATAGACTTTAACAAGAATCCAAATGACAAAAAAATAATAACCAAAAGGATAACTTTCACGAACCCTAGCACTTCGTTCCACCCATGGCGGTGGTTCAGGAGGAGGCCGTACCATTGGTACTATTCTAATTGATTCTCCATTGCCGGTCGAAATCTGGCCTACGCGAAACCCGTCTAACCAGGGGCGGAGCCAGGGGGTCAGGGTGGTCAACTGACCCCTCTGAAAGTTCAAGAATGTAGAGCTCTGAAATACCTTCGATTTGATATATTATGGGTCTCGTAACTCATTACGAGTGAAAAGTTATGACTTTGGAAAAAATAAGCACCATATTGGCTTGAAATAAGCAAAATTTGATGTGTGACGTTGATTATATTTTTAAATTTAAAAATAAAACACCTTATTTAGTCATTAGTTGTGTAAATATTATAATACATTACTTATATAACCAAAAATGCTCATTAAACTACCATTTATCTCAATTACATATGAAACATTTAACTCAAGTATTGCACAATAAATATCCATCATTTTGATATTGTATATAATTATATTCCGACCCCCCTCACATATTTTTCTGGCTCTGCCCCTACGTCTAACTCTCCTCGTCCCGCACTCGTAGCAAAACCGCCGCTAGCTGTTATCCTCTTCCCTTTCAAGCCCTGTGATGCATTCATCTGCCTTACTGTTCTGCGAATAGGCACCCAAGCGGCACTTCTTAAACTAACATGTTGTGACTCCCCAATTGGCACCCACGTAGTCGAAGGGAAGCGAACACCTGCAGAAGAAAACAAGAACAAAATAGAGACGACCTCGTACTCTACTCGCTGAAGAAAACGACCGATTGCCAGACGTGCGCAAAATCTCAAACCCTAATCAATAGGGAGACGGCCCCCAGTCCGTGAGGGCTCCTTAGTACTTTAGTCTTTTGATTATTATTATTCAACTTGCGAAATTAAAAGTAAAATTCGAAAGATTAAAAATTCAGCATTAGCATAATAGACCAAGAATTAAATATTAGCGGAAGAGAAAATATTACATTTTACTACGACTATTATCTGTGATTTTTCAATTTTTTAAAATCGCTCCATCGCAATATTATTGATTGTGACTGTAAGAAACACATCTTTTTGACATAGCAAAAAGTTAATCATTCAAAAATGATAGTCATTTCTGTTTCACAAATATAACCACTAGATTGGTAGGAACCCCTGAGTATTTCCTTCTTGTTTATCTCTTTGATTAGGATAATATTGTGAAAAATTCTTTCTGAAGGATTCCACAAAAGGTTATTAAAGTGAATTTGTGTGGACATTAAAAGACTTTAATTTGATACATTAACACATGAAATTTTCCTAACATCCCCTCTTTGATGGGATGGAGCTGAGGCGGTGATTTTCTCTTATAGAATTGTGTTATCATTGTTTAATCTAGCCCAAATAAAATAAGGTTTAAAATTTATACTTACTCTCTTCGTCTCAAAAAGATTTGCCAAATTGACTTTTTTGGTCAATGATATGGTAATCAACTTTGACCAATGATATTTATTAATACTCTGCATGAAATTATTTTAAAATATGAAAATTATATTAAAATATGTCTTATTAAAAATATTTTCATGAAAGTATAAGATTAATAAATGATAAATACATATAATAGTTAAAATTAAATCATTATCCAAGCTTTGTTATTATTGATCAAGAAAAGTCTATATGTCAAGAGGAAGCGGTCCAGCTCAGCTGGTCGCCAACTCACTCTCCCTTACGGGAGGTCTCGGGTTCAAAACTCAATGGAGTAAGTTTCAACCTATATTACTCCAGGCTCCCCCAACCCCCCAACCCCAGACGCCCCCTGGAGTAAAAAAAAAGTCTATATGTCAAACATTTTTTGGGACTGGTGGAGTTTAATTCCAACTACGAGAGCTAATGTATGAAAAGTAGTGAAATTTAGACAACATAAGGCAATATTCTTATTCCAGAGAGTGGATCCCTTTTAGGGTATGTACAAGAAGTATTTATAGACCTTAGGTATAACGTCTTGAATGTTGTGCAATCACTGTTTCCTTAAGATCCACGTTCCTTACGTTATTTCCTACTGCTGCCAGATAACTATGCACGAATGATTCCATGGAAGAGTCTGACATCGATAGAACTCCATCCAGGCTCAAGGCCTGATTGTGGGTTCATTTTGCAGGTTGGATTCCTAATTACGCCCAGCGGCTGTTATTCATTATTAATCACGATTAATGGGTTGATCCCATCGATGGACTTTACTTTAATTCAGTCTTGGGCCATGGTTGTGATCCATGGTACCATCCAGTGGCGGAGCCAGAAAAATGGGTCAGGGGGTCGAAAATCAATTATGTATAAAATGAAAATGGTAGATCGTTTTGAGACTATGTCCGAGTTGAATGTTTCATTTGTAGTTTAGATAAATAGGCATTCATAAGCAATAAGATAGATTGTCTTTGCTCTGTTTCTGAATCATGTCACGTAAGTAATGAGTTAATTATACGTTATTTTTAAAATTTGAAAAAATAATCAATATTATGCATCAACTTTTCCTTATTTTACGTTTAGAAAGTGCTGATTTTCCAGAAGTTATAACTTTTTACTCGTAATGAGTTACGGGGGTCATAATATATCAAATCGAAGATATTTCAGAGCTCTATACTCTCAAACTTTCAGCGGGGTCGGCTGACCACCCTGACCCCCCTTTGGCTCCGCCCCTGGTACCATCAACCCTATGTACTACGTAGCTTTGTTCGTTTGTGTCGGTAAGAGTCGGGTTAAAGGTATCTTTGTTAGAGTAAAAATTTGAGCCTGAAAAATCTCCACCCCTGGTATGTTCATATTTATGTTTATTTATTTTAGTATGCAATATTGGTGTCTGAAAGATAATGAAAAATTACAAAATTTGGTATATTTTTTCTGTAAAAACTGGATAACAAAGAAAAAAGTCATGATGATTTAAAAAGTCATTTAATTGCTAGCTTCTCATATACTCCCTAGTCCCTACTGTGTAGCTCTTTGTCCGTGATTTCTGTTGCTAAGAGAGTCATTGGCTCTTGTTAACCCAGTTGATTTGAGCGGTATTAAATAGACATCTAAAATTTAATAGACATATAAAAGGACCATAAAATCTTCAAGAAACATTAACGGGGTAGAGTTACTAGAGTAATCACGAATGTGACTTGTACTACTTTTGGTTCACAAACAGCTAATGAAAAAATTCGAAGAGAGGATGGAGTCAACAAAGGTCCATGACGGGGAGTTATGTAAACCAGAGAGCCCTGGATGCCAAGGTTTTTGTCAATGACTGAGTCAACAAAGATTTCATGTTAAAGAATGCCAAGAACAACCATGAAAAGTATGTACATTCATGTGATCAAAAGACAACCTGGAGCTAGTTCTTAAGAGAATGGGTCTGAAACTAGACAACCACCATGATTGATGTTCTCAAATAGCATTTCCCCATGATATCTCAGGTCTTAAAATTCGTCAAAGTTACTCCTTTGTCAGGTTGCACCGATACAATAGTGTACGAAAAGTTTTCAAGAAGTAACGACAAATGTAAATGTGCTACCTTCCAACAGCTTCAATGCCATTATATCTTCTTTGTTTCTTATTATGCAGATGTCCAGCAAGAGCGAGCACCAAAAATTCTACCTTTCCACCCCTGCAGTATCCAATGACCGTCTTGTAAAAACATAAACTTCTTGTGAAATCCGGCCTTTGCCTTGTCTCTCAGCTCATTCACAAGCTCGGGTCTTAAGGGAATAGGCTTTAACCCAGCTCTCAAATTATGCAAATGCCACTGCTTGTATGTTTCAGGCCTATGTAATCTTTCCATGCCTTCACATGCTAAGATACTCATGATTTCACATGCCCGGGCTTCTTCAAAACCCAACCTGTGAGGATCATCGCGGGGTAACGTAGCATCACACATATCAAAGACTGCAGTGTAGTAGAAGAGAGCTTCTCGGAACCGAGTTAAAAAGAAAGGAGAGCTGTGGGCTCCACTCAACACTGATTGCACATAAATTTTAGGATTTATTTCACGGATTAAGTTTAGAACTGCATCCTTAGGGAGAACTGGAGTATCTGCAACACCCACTGTCTCATCAAGTAGGTTTTCGAATCGATACAAACAGTTAATAGCAACAATCTCACTAGTCCGAAGCTTTAAATCCTCAATTTTAACTGTCTCCCAATTTTGTGTTGTTATGGCATTGTACTCAAATTGTACACCAAAACGTTCACAATATTTTGTCAAAAGACTACCAGTCTTGTGTACCATTTCTTCCGGACGAAAACCAGGTTGGGGAAGCTCAATTGCGGTTATTCGAAGTTTAGGAGGTCCACCGGGTCTTTGTGATAATTTCTCAATAAGAATGGGCCACTGGAAACCATAAAGAATACCAAAATCTATGATGTGAAGCGATTTACTTTCCAATGCAACTTCATAAATCATTGTATTTGCAAAGAAAAATGATGTTCTCATGCATGGCCAACATGTAAGGTAGGTGCGAAAGGCTTTTATCATTCTAGAAGCTGAGGTCGTCTTTGAAGATAGTGCCGCATATAGTTGCGCCCCAGTTCCAGCCAACCGTGCCTCAAAAGCATTTGCAAATGCATGGCCCAGCCTTTGATTTGCATCACCGGTTGGCGAAGAGTGCATCCTAATCTTTGCTAGCTTTTCTTCCACAATCCTATATTCAGCATCTGCAATAGATTGTGCACAGCTGGTTAAAAGAGACTCTAGATCCACATTTTTACCAGTCTTTCCTTGTTTATTTGCATATCCCTTCCAACGACCTTGTACTTTCTGTTGGGTGCCGTTTCCAACTACAGATGGAGGATCCTCGTTATTTCTAAACAGCAAAACTTTATCAAACAGCTCTATTAACTCAACCTCCTCCTCCTCCTCCTCTTCGTAAACTGCAGACTGCTTAGTGCGCCTTTCTTCCTGTAACCCAACGTCACCTGAATGTTGATGCTTCTTTCCTCTAGAAGAATCAGCCGCACCATTATCTGTACTGAGAAGCAACTGATATTGGGAAGGAAGGAATCTACTTGCTTCCTCCATACCTCTTTTAAACTGCAAGATGGACTCAGTATCACTACATACATTTGGACCTAACTTAACAGTGTTCAAAGAGTCCATTTGGGTATTTATAAAACTATTCAAGCTATATGAAGAACCATTTGACCTCTCCACATATGATTTAGATAGTTCGGTGTTACAACTACTAGAGCTCCTAAATGTGCTGTCCCGGCTTCCAGATTTATTGTTAACAAAAAGAGGTTCTTGATTAGGTGATGAAGGGTTTTGATGAAGGGCGTCATAAAAGAAATTTTCAGCAGCTCTAATGGAAATAGGGTCATAATACAAGCTGGGATTATTATTCTCATCAATATTACTATCCTCCAGTAGCATCTGGCCAATGTACTTGAGCGTGGGATCAGAGTAGTGATCATGTTGGGAGTCCAACGTAGGAGCATGTGTTACCAACGAGGCATCCTTATGGCTGTCTGAAATGTCTCGTGATCCTTTTAAAGTAGAAAGAATGATATCATTCTCCAACTCAGATTCATTTGGAGAGGACTCAGGCAACCTGGTGAACCAATGATCCATATCCATCAATGTGAAGAAACCTATATCCACGTAAAGACAGGTGGGTAAACAAACAAAAGGCATCAGCAATAGTTAACTGAATCAAGAGGAAGAATTTTCGATGACCCCTCTTTATGTTGGATAGCAACATATATAACCATAAAAACATATTTTCCGATTATTAATATAATAACATGCATCAATGGGTACTTCTACTGCATTAGTGGCAGTTTTAGTTGTTCCCTGTCTGCATTAACCACAAGAACAACAACATCCAAGCCTTAAATGTCTGCATTTAACCGCGAGAGCTAAAATTGATGTCGTTGGGGAAAAGCCACAAAAAGTACAAGGACTGAAATTTTGAAATAGATAATAAGGTCATACTATAGTTGCTAATTGCTATGGAAGGAAAGGGTGTGGATAGGGAAAATATATGGAGCATGTTAACGTGTTTACTTCAAAGTAAGTTGGCTTGATAAATATTCAAGATTCATTCATCTAAAGTATATAGAGAATCATGGTCATTTATCACGCTAATGTGCTCCTTAGTGAGCACATTGTATGCTTCATATATTAAGTACTGTAGATAGGGGATGACTGTGTAAACAGCCTATCAATCTATCATTCACTTTTCGATTAACTTTAGCAATGCAATTGTGTCAAAGCTATTTTTAAGCGATGTTTGAAATGAACATGACAGTTCAAAATGAGCTTGACTAGATCCAAAATTAACAAGTGTAGGCAATTAATTGATATGTAGCCTTGTTTGGATGAAGAGATGAACTTGACTAGATTCAAAATTAATCAGTTTATTTGAAACACTAGTAATTGTAGCGTTTCAGTTTGTCTTTTAAATTTACCGCAAGCTTATGGCAACGTTACCTTCCTGCTATTCAGATTTTATTATTTTGTTTATATTGAAACATTTGTTGTATGGTAATTTTACATTTTTCAATCAAAATGTCAGCTATGTAGTCAAACAAGTCTACTTCATTCCGCTAACATTTCCATATCAACAACTACTGCCCGTCTCCAGACAATAATCACTAAATCAGACGAACTTCAACTTCAGCTCGTTTTTCCAAACATAGCCTTAGTATTTGGTAAATGACTTTTCGATTTTATTGTTTGAAGCCAAAAGGCCAAAAATAAAAACGTCAATTTGAGTAGCTTATTCACTAATAGCTTTTTATTTTGTATTTTAAAAGCTATCATCATGAATAGGAAATAATATTCACTAATAGCTTATTTAATAAGCTTTTTATTCACTAATAGCTTATATATACCCTCCAAATAAAATAAAATAATAATGACAAGGAAATAACAATGAGAAGATATATCATCATGAATATTGTTGCTATTTTAAAATATTATTTTAAAAATGAGTACAAGTAATCAAATATAAAATAGGGAAAATGGAAACTAATAATCCAACCTTTTAGCGGTCTTCTTACAATAATCCAACCTTTTGGTTATTCATGAATAATCCAACCTTTGCACCTCATCTTCATTCACTGGTCCCTGACCGGTTGATGACCTGCTATTCCAAGCTATTTTCTTATCTTTGCAAATCATTATACCATAAATCTCATCTTTCACAAAGGTAATATTTTGCAAAGATAAGAAAATAACTTGGAATAGTAGGTCATTAACCGACCAGGGACCAATGAATGAAGATGAGGTGCAAAGGTTGGATTATTCATGAATAATCAAAAGGTGGGATTATTGAAAGAAGACCGCTAAAAGGTTGGATTATTAGTTTCCATTTTCCCTTTAAAATATTAATTGTAAATATGTGTGTGCATGCGTAAGTGTATATATATACAACAACATCATCTAAACCTTAGTTTCAAAAGATTGTGGGATCAGCTAAATACATTATATCTGAGCCAAAAAGAAAATAAAGATAAGAAAGATAAAAAGATAAGGTTAGATAAAAAAAGAAGATAAAAATGATAAAATAAAAATGATAAAATATATACCCCCTCCGTATTTTAATGTTCACTACAATAGGTTTGGGCACAAGAAGTAATGAATAGCGTAGAAAAAATATGAGAGATAATGGAAAAGTATGAAAGAGAAAATAAAAAGTAGAAAAAGTAAGGGTAATTGAGTATTTTCAAAGTAAAAACTTACCAAAAAGTGAAAGTGTAGCAAATTTTTAAATACATCCAAAACAGGAAAGTGCAGCAAACATTAAAATACGGAGGGAGTATATAACATAAAAAGGGTAAAAGAATATCCACCAGAAGAATATTCATCCTCCATTTTGCTCTCTCTAGTCTCTACTCTCGCCTAACCCAAAGATAAGCATATCACTTCTCATTCCTCTAATCCATGTTTATTTGGATCTTCTTTTCCCTCTTGACCTCTCGTCCCCGCCTATTTTGCCCACCTTTTAATTCGCCAGTGTATCACTCCATTTATAGGCATTACTCCCACTTTTTTTCTGATTATCTTATTTCTCAAACAGTCTTTTCTAGTACGCCCATATAAGTTTATAATCATTCCGTCTTACTGGACTTTGCCAACTGTTTTTTTTGTCCCAAAACTTTGCCACTTTCTTTGTAAAGTAGTAAATTTGTGGTACTCTTTATTTTTCTCTCCTCTGTACAAATCTCAATCACACTGTTTCCTTTTCTTTTCATTCAATATTCAAATCAAAGTAGGCTATGTCCAACGGGGTGGAGGGAGTATATATTAAAAAAAGAAAAACTGTCAATTAAGTCCTTGAACTATCACGAAAACGTCAATTAAGTTCTCATGCTTTATAAAAATAATCAAATCCCTAAACTTTGAAAAAATGTTCAACTGAGTCAATTAGCAAGTTATCTATCATGTCAACAGATCATCCACTTGTATTTAAAACTGGCCTCTTTGTGGAATTTTTTGATGAATTTTATGAGCATGTTCTTCATAAATGTAGATAGAGTCCACAAAATTTCACCTTAAAATTCAATCAGAGAGTTAGTTAATTTGTTTAATAAAAAAAACACTGCATTTTTATGTATATTTTTAATAATTTGTTTAACTGACATCTTGATTGAATTTTAAGGTGAAATTTGGTGGACATAATATACACTTCATGAAGAATATAATATGCTCACAAATTTTATCAAAAAATTCCACCACTGAAGCGCTTCAAATTAAGGCGGCCAGATGGTGGTTTCAGTTAGGCAAGCCATGTGTATTTTACAACTGTCAAAATTTGATCTGGTTTGATTTGTTAGACTCTAGTCTGGTCTGGGATTGAAATTAGTTCAGGTAAAAATATCCTTAACAGTTAATTATGTTACAAACATTTTTACTTTAATCCTCTAATTAGATTTATAAATTAATCAAGGATAGCCAAAAGGGAGAAACTGAAGATTAAACAGCCAAAGTAAGGATGTTTTTACTTGGACTGTAATTTGCTGGTCTGGTCTGGTCTGGTCTGATCTGGTCTGGTCTGGTCTGAACTGGTCTGGTCTGGTCTGGTAAGGTCTGGTTTCTTTGTATTTTTATAACTATCCAAGTCTGGTCTGGTCTGGTCTGGTCTGAACTGGTCTGGTCTGGTCTGGACTGGTCTGGTCTGGGGCAAATTACAGTCCAAGTAAAAACATCCTAACAGTTCATTATAAAATAATCAGAGCACCAACACTTGAAATGCCCAGCAGGTAAAGGTGTTCATTTTGATTATTTTTTATTAAAACTTTCCCTTTTTCATTTAAATATAAAATAACATGCTAATGCCTTGGATCGTCACCACTCACCAGCAGGCAGCAGTAAATGAGTTCAACCATACATGGATTATAAACAGACAGAAATGGAATCAGTTTCCAATAAAAAAATTTACATTACACAATAAATAGGAAAAGAAGAAAATGGAATGGACATCAAGTCGTGAAAATTAGTTGTTTTTTGTCTTGGAGATCTGAGCACGTACGTACCTTAGACTGAGAAGCGGGAGACGAGAGCGAGTTGTATGATAGCAGTAAAACAACTTAAGCAAACCGAGGATTCGGAAACAGGACGAGAAAAAAAAGTATGAATTTTCCACGAAACAGCTCATGACTTGGAAGTGGTGACTGGCAATTAGTTCCTGAAAGCAAGCATCAAAAGGCGACTGGGGAGTTGAAATTTGTTTTCTAAAAAGTGGAAAGCTAGGGTAATTTGTTTTTTCTCTATTCCGTAAAAGAGTAAAAGCAGTCCATTTTCCTCTTTACAGGTAAAAATGGGGATCACATCCAATTTGTCCCCGGAGGTGGATCTAGAAACTTTGACTATTGGGGCAATCATTAGAAAAAAGTGAAAAAAAAAAATCAAAGATAAAAGTCCAAAAGATTAATAATTCAGCATCAGCATAAATCACCAAAAATTAAATATTAGCAGAAGAGAAAATATTACATTTTACTACGACTGTAAACTACGATTTTTTAATGGGATAATTTGAGTTTGCACCTCATTTTATTGTTCAAATTAGACTTTGCACCCCGTTTTTGAAATCATTAGTATTTGCACCTCAACCCCTTGTGAAAAGACAAAAATGCCCCTCGATCAGGAATATGTTGAAAACCAACAAAATTGTTAATGGGGGGCATTTTAGTCTTTTCATATGGGGTTGGGATGCAAGTACTAAAGATTTTAAAAACAAGGTGCAAAGTCTAATTTAGACAATAAAATGGGGTGCAAACTCAAAATACCCATTTTTTAATTTTTTTAAAATCGCTCCATGACCACGAGATTGGTAGGAACCCCTAAGTATTTGAAAGAATGACTCGAATATAATTAATGGCTATGCAATATACAAAACTAGGACTTCCTTAAAATCTGGACAAAAAAGAGACCGAATAATAATTGGTAGACTGAAATGCCCTCACATAAATATAACCCTATTCATCCTTCTCGATCGTATCTCGTCTCCAGCCGCAACCTTCATCTCAGGTTTCGTTGCTCTTCCTCCAGCCGCAAGCAGCACCGTCGGCCAATTTCTTCTCAGTCGCAGCCGCAACTCTTCTCCGGCTTCTTATCCTTCTTCTCTGCAAATTGAAATTTCTCCTTCTCATTCAATTTCGCCGCTAACTGCTTGCCATACCCTGACGCCTCCATCATTCCTCTTCTCCTCCTGTCCTCCATCACTGAGAACAGTTTACGCATTCGACTCTATTTCAGGCATAGAAACGATTGATGACGACACGAGACAGACACGGACAACGATGACGGGGTTCGATCTCTTTTGAGCCGGTTTCGAACCAGATGGGGAGGTGCGAGCATCGAAGGAGATTGCAAATTAGCGGTGACCTAGGGATCCGGCATCGAGGTGCATGGCGGTATGGTCGGCGTACAGAGGCTAGGTCAAATGGTGAGGTAAATGTTGGTGGCTAGGTTGTGGGGTGAGGTCCGGCGGTTGGGGAGGTTGGAGAGGGGGTCTACGGCTTGGGATGGTGTTGCGCCTCCAGCGAAGGGGATAGACTGGATAGGGTGCAGGGTTGGAGTGGGGCAAGGGACTGATGGGCGCTGGGTAGGGGTTGTGGGTGGGGAGGAGGGCTGGGAGTTTGCGGATGAGACTGGTGGGCAAGAGTGGCGGCAGTCACCGCCCGGCGGTAGTGGTGGCCAGTGGTGGTTTATGAGTAATTAGACGGGTTGATAACTGTAAGTGGATGGATTGGTAATTGTAACTGGACGAGTTAGGTAACTGTAATTATAATTGGGCGGGTCAGGTAACTGTAGCTGGACGGGTCGGGTAAGTGTAACTGGACTGGCAGATGTTGGTCACTGGACGGGTTGACGTTAGTAAGTAGGTAGAATTTTGGTCACTAATGATTTTGGTCACTCACGAATTTTTTGATTTTTTTGGTCACAAATGATTTTTGGTCACTAGAGGATTTTGGTCACTATAATGTTTTTGGTCACTATGGCGTTACTGTAGAACTAATGGGTGAGATTCTATTAATATAAGGGTATAATAGTCTCTTAACCCATTTTAGTCCCATTTTTGGAAAATATGAAAAAAGGTCCATTTTTTGTCCATAGCTCTTTTTTTAGTATTATTTTAGACAAAACCCCTAAGTATTTCTGTAATGCCCCGAAATTTTGAGAAATTTTGAGAAGTAATTAAAATTGTGTTTCGTATCGTTTACATGGTCTTTAGATAGTTTGTGATGGTTGGTTTAGTGTTTTGGACCAAGGGAGGTCCAAACGGGGAAGAAACGGAGCAAAAACTAAAGTTTCGGACGTCTGGGGGTCACGCACGGCGTGCGTGGGGTCACGCACGGCGTGCGTGGCATGAAATTTGAGCATAATAGCTACTGCCATCCACGCACGGTCGTGCGTGGAGGCACGCACGGTCGTGCGTCCCTGATTTGTCCTAGTTCGACCAAACTTTGGAAATTCACTATAAATACATCTCTAATCCGATTTTCCTCATTCCAAAAACCCTAGAACCGCCTCTTCAAGCTCTATCTCTTCCATAACTTTAATATTAACATATCTAACACGATTTTTGATTCCATGGACGAGATCAAACAATCGAATCTTCCGGTAAGCGTTTTTGTTGCCTAATTCGCATCGTTCATCCGTTTTCTTGATTTCTTTCTCCTAAATTATGATCCTTCAACCCTATAAATTCTTAGGGACGTGTGAGGGACTCCTCAAGATAGGTTTGACGTTTAGGATTCGTTGCTAGCCTCGAGGTAAGGACTATTGCAACCAAAACTACTATTTTGCCCCTATTATGTGTTCATTAGGGTTTGTGCTATGATTTAAGTTTCTTTGTGAACTTTTATGAATATTTCGGTTATTAACTTATAGATATGATGATGTATGATTTTCTGGAATTTATGAACGTGTGACTTTTGTTGAATTTACCAAATCCGTTTAATATGGCAAAAATTGTGATTTTTGAGGAATTGTCCTTTGAATTGGAAAATTGTGGTGATTGTTTTGGTATGAGTTGAAGTATGATTTGAGATTATTATAATTAGTTATTGTGAAAGTTTATTATGGATTTATAATACTCCAATTGGATTATTTTGCTGGTGGTAGTAAATACTACTTTTGGAAAGTGGTGGTTTGGGTTAAACCCTATTTTTGGAAAGTATTGCGAGACCAAATCTTTTGGGACAAATTATATTCTTTTAAATGTATAATTTGGTGTGAATGTTTATATATATTCTGGAGTTATAGATATCCTTATTGGGTTATTTTGAATATGGTATTAAATACTATTTTGGAACTAGTTTTGGTTAAACCCTAATTTGTGAATTTTGACTTTGAATCGGAGATGTTTGGCATATGGTTTTGAGACATGAATCTGAAATAAATATAATGAGAAGGTATTTTGAGGTTAAGTGATATGTGAGTAATCTATGAACTAGATGTTCATGATGATAATCGGGTAATCTATGAACTACATGTTCATAACGACAAGTGGAGCAATATATGAACTACATTGGTGGCGGTGGTGGTGGTAGATGCTATTTTTGTAAAGTGGGGTATCAAATCTTTTGCCAAATTGTAATTAATGATTTCTGAATAATTTGAGCACCCGGAGTAATCCGTGGTGTTCGGCTCTACATCCGGTTAAATGTAGAACTGTGGTCTGGGTAGTGCTACTATTATCTGGTGGATGGTTTCTTTGATAGTTTTGGATATTTGGATATTATTATTATTGGTTTCGGATTTTGTGGTAGTAATAGCACCTAGACCACTTTTATCTTTTTCTTGGGTAGTCGGTAGAGACTTAGCTCGTCTCGACTACTTGGACTTCTTACTACTCGGAGGGCTTGGAATCCCTTTTTAGAGGGTGTGCACACTTAAGGTAGAAGTTCAGTTTCCAATTGGTGGGTGGTGGGGTCCGGGTTGATCGGACGGTTCATAGGTGACCTCAGTAGCTTGTGCAACCGTTCAGGAGACCTGGGGTGATGCGTGGTAGTTAGTGACCACGTATTCGCTTGGTTCGGGTTCTATTTTTGGGAGCTCCCCCATCCTTAAAAGAATCTAGAAACAATTAGGGGATGTGAGTTTTGGTGCATGAGTATTAAGTATTGACTTTGAAAAGAAGTATTGGAATGTGGATTTGTACGAAAGTATCTTGCTTACTTAAAGTGATTTTGATGGATTATTATTGAATGAATTTTTATGGTGGGTCGCTAATCACCCCGACAACTTTGAGGTTTAATTATATATTTTTGGGGAAGGGGTATTTCTGAAAAGTTACATTTTGGAAGGTTAAACACTCTTGGAAAACTTTTTTGTTTATAGTTGTATTTTTGAAGACTTATATTTTAGGAAAGTTGAATCTTTGAAAAGTTATATTGTTGGTGAGATATATTTCAAGAAATCTATTTTTAAAGAATTGTTCCTTTGGAAGGTGACCTTTTTGGAATGTGGAACCTTGGTATGTGATATTGTGGAAATGATATTTTACTCATGTGATGGGATGTGAATTATTTGACGTATTAGAAATATTATTTCAATTGTAAGTGTGTACTCGAATTATGGATATATATTATTGGATTATAAATGTTATTTTACATGTTAAGGATTGTTTTAGATTCAAAAAGAGTAATTTGGGAGTATATAGATTTTTGAGATTATATTATGTACAAAAACTTATTTTTGGCAAATTATATTATTTTACGGGGTTGGGTAGGTCTTACTTAGCTAAAAAGCTAAGTAACAGGGATATTTTCCTGTTTTCTACTTCTGTTTTTCGTTCTCCAATTTTCTGTTTTTACTTTTCAGTTTTTCTATCTCCAATTTTCTATTTCTATTTTTTAGTTTTCCATTTCTCAATCTGAAAACATGTTCATCAATTTTTTTACCCAGATCTCCAATTCCACACCCTTGACCCCTACCCTTACCACGATCTTGCACTCTACCCATACTCTCCCACAACCCTTCATACCCACCCATACCTACTCGTAGCGGTCGGGGTAGGGAAGTTATGGGTGGGGGGGGGGGGGGGGGGTAAGGGGTATGGTCGGGGTGGGGGGGTAAGGTCTAGGGGTAGGGGGTTGGGTGGGGGGTAGTGGGTGGGTTAGGGTAGTGGTTAGGGGTAAGGGTGGGGTAGTGGGTAGGGTTTGGGGTAAGGTAGAGGTAGGGTATGGAGTTGGGATAGGATGGCGGTAGGGTGGGGCCGAGGTAGGGAAGGGGTGGGGGTAGTGGGTAGGGTTGGGGTAAGGTAGGGGTAGTGGGATAGGATGGCGGTAGGGTGGGCCCGGGATCTGGGTGGGGCCGAGGTAGGGGAAGGGTAGGGTGGGGGGTAGGATGGTGGTGGGATGGCGGAAGTATGGGTGGACTCGAGCCGGTTCGGGCCCGGGTCAGGCCTCCGGTTCAGGAATGGGGGGCCCGGAACAGTGCCGGTTCCGGGTTGGGTCACCCGGCCTGAGTCCACCCCTAGGCGGAAGGGTGCTGGCAGGATGGCGGTACGAGGGTGGGGGTAGGATGGCGGTGGGGTGGGGCCGAGGTAGGCGCATGTGGTAAGGGGTAATATACGGGTGGGGGTAGGGTAGGGTGGGTCGGGGTGAGGTCGAGGTTGTAGGGGGGTGGCGGTAGGGTGGATCAGGGTGGGGCCGAGGTAGGGGCATGTGGTAGGGGGTGGGGTAGGGTCATTATAGCGAAAAATGGGTATGCGGGGTGGGGTTGGGTGGGTAAGGTAGGGTAGGGTAGGGGTAAGGGGTAAGGTACGAGGATGGAGGTACCGGAATGAAATCGACATCGGAGCGGGACTGGACCCACCACTAGGTGTACGTATGCAAATTCATTGCAGCGGCACTGTAGCATTCAGCGTTTTCCAAATTTGGAAAAACTAGTAAAAGTCACTTCTCCAAATCATTAAGGAAAAGAGAGACATGTCTCATTTTTTCCGTTTTGGAAAACGATTTGGTAAACGCGTTTTTCTTTTTTCCTTTCTCCAGTTTTCCAGGAATTTCTTTGGTAAACACGTTTCCTATTTCCAGTTTTCCAGTTTTCCAGTTTTCTGGATTATATCTCTGTTAGTAAATAGACCCTAATTTTTGTTTCTTTTTCTTTGTTTTGTTTTTGCACTTTAATTGTGCAGGTGATGAAGGTTATGCTTGATGTTGAGAGCTGCGTTAGATCACGTAGTTTAGTATCTATGATCACCTAGTTATTGTTTATTTCAGTTTGAGAATATGTAGTCATTAAATTTGTTTTCGAGATTTAAATCTTTAAATACTTGGACTATTTTTGGATGGTGGTTTAGCCTGTGGCGGTAACACCCCATTGAATATCATGCTTGCGCTGCAATTTAAACTCTTTTGGAATTGAATATTTTTGGGAAATTCTTTCTACACTTGCTATATTTAGCATCTATTTTGGGTATAAATTTGGGGGTGTTACAATTTCCTTTTTTTAAACATTTATCGGATTTATTAAAATTAAAGAAAGGAATTACAGAAGGAGTAATTGGGGGGGCTAAACCTGACCCAACTACCGTTTTTTTTTAAACCAAAAGAGAGAAACGATTGTAGCTAAATATGAGTTTAGCCTAGTGTGTATTCTGAGAGCAGGCCCAATGTGAAGTTCTGGTGAGGTGGCGTGTGAGTCCAAACGGATGTGGCCCAGACTGAATTCCAAACATAAACCTTCCAAGGAATGTCTGTCGGTCAGTAGGGTTAGGCGCAAAGAAGTTTGCTTCCGGCGCTTCGAGAGTGTTCTATCGGATTCTAGCCAGTGTCCCTGAAAAACGATGCGTTCATCTTGTCTTTGATGTAGGCTTTCTTTGCATTGGTCGGTAGATTGTTTGCTGTGAAGAAGAGTGGTATGGTTGTTGACGTCCGGAGTCCGTGCTGAGCAAGATAGTGGGCGACGAAGTTGGCCTCGCAGTAGCGGTGAACGAAACTGATGGATCTTGCACGGCGGAGATGATTGATTCTGTCTAGATCTCCTCTTAAGTATGCAGGTATTGATACCAAACCTCTAATCATCTTAACGCATATCTCTGAGTCTTTCTGTGCCTCAAAATTTTTAAAACCTTTTTCTGTCATTATTTGTAGTGAGATCCTGAGTGATGAAGTTTCTGCCTGAAGAGAGTTCCGGGCCGTGAGAGGATACGCCGTCG